GGTTGTCCTCTTTGCTCTTTTCTGACCACCCTCCACGTGGCTGGCCACGTGGCCATCTTTCTGCAATCCTCGAAACGGGGGGATAACACACACACACACACACACACACACACACACACACACACATATATATATATTTCATAGAATCACTTCTCAAGATCACTTATACGGTGAATTGAATACAGTTAAATAAAAGTAAGAATTGAGATTTGTAATGGAACTTATAATCTATGTTGTTAGTTCCCATTGATTTTGACATACTAAGAGCTTGTTGGATATACTTTATTTTTTAAGAATAGTAGATTGATATAGAATGTATAGTTAAAAAATAACAAAATTTTTTGAATTTGCGTGTCATATTATTTTATTGAAAAAATTTTGGTTAAAAAGANAAATTTTTTGAATTTGCGTGTCATATTATTTTATTGAAAAAATTTTGGTTAAAAAGAAAAGATGAAATAATGAATTTTGAAAATAATGTATATCAAACAAGGGCTAAGTGATTTTTTGATAAAATTTTATTAATTTTCCAACTGATCAAATTTCAATTTTAATTATAGATTTTATTTAACTTACAATTTTTATCCCTTTATCAATGGCTTTGTTAATCAACCCTAAAGTATATAAGACATGATTATATGTATTTTTTTTTAATCGTTTCAGTTTTTAGATTAAATGATGAACGCATTATTTCCTACTACCTAAAGCTTGAACTAACATTCTTGTACAAAGATTCATATTCTTAAACGATCTACTATCTTGTTAGAGCATATTAAGAATAAAATACAACATTGCTTAATAGTAGAGACAAATATCAACACATAAAGGCTTAAGAATCAATATACTACAATTAATAATGTTAACGTTTTCATATTGAAATTCAAGTCTCAATATGATGTTAGAGTTAAGCAAATATAGTTGTTATTGGGTCCCACTCGGTTAATAAAAGTCAATAATAGTTGTTAGTTTTTAAATTTTAATTCGATTTTAATTTCTACCTAACACGCCAATGAGACAAATGAACGCCAAACCAGACACGAGACAACGTATTGAAGATATAATTTGAATAATTTAGTGTGATCTTTCTATAACAATTTAAACTTTTTTTTTCTAACATTCATAATGGCTTAATCTTTTCAACAAACTCTTCAATTATATATAAGATTAAGATTTTCAGTTGAGTTGCACGTTATTTAATTATTTGCGTGACCTTATGTGTGATTTTGTTAGGTGCCAATATTTCATAAAGTAAATACAATCTATTGAACATATTATCTAAAGAACAACGTGACATGACATGACATGTATTAAAGATATGCAAAATATCTTTAATGTTTCTTAAACAATCATACATTTTTCAATAAATTATTATTACACGTAAATTCAAATTTTTCTTCTTATTTTTTAACCAAACATTATTCAATAAAATAATATTTTCAAACAGGAGCAAGATATCTTGGAAAAAGGAAGAAATATTAAAATCTTTTGAGTGATCATTCAACAATGTGATACAACTCGATATTTTAGATGAATCGCTCAATAATATAACTTTTCTTAATTTAGATTTGTTCTCAGTAAAACAAGGTCGGACTCTTCAACGTCGAGCTAGTTCAACCTTCAAATATACTGTTGTCCCCTAAAAGCCAAAAAAAAATTGTTAGAATTTGATTTAGAGAATGAAAATAAAATTTAGATAAGTATGAAAAAGTGACTTTCGTATCAACTTTAACCAAAATATTCGGATTTGATCCGGTAGTCAAATTATGAATATAAATAGACTAATTTGTTCTACTCATCGAATATTGTCGTGATATGTTTGGAATCTCAAAACAAAATCAATTATGGATGAATGAGAAATTGCAATCCAAAGTTGGATAGAAAAGAGGAAATACGGGCTAGAAAAAATGGCTAACTCTATCACTTCCTATCGCTCGAGCAATGAGACAGTTGTTCGAGCGACAGTCTAGCGACATGCGAGCGAGAGAAGTTCTGATGAAAAGGTGTCACCGTCGTTCGAGCAAGATGCAGCAAATGTTGCGACCTTTGGCAAGTGTTGTTGAGTTTGGGGCGCGACACTTCACTCACAACCTTTCGTCCTCCATATATGAGACCCTTTAGACGTTCATTATGCATCATATATTATTCTGCATTGATCGTTACATCAAAACTCTTGCAAAATACTCTCCAAAGTTATTCCAAAACCATTTTCTTGTATAGAGAAAATTATCGTTCCAAGTTCGTTGTTGCTTGTGATTTGAAGTGATTCTACCACAAGTTGTATCTTGGGAGACAAATGTCGTAATCCGTTGCACCGTTACAGGGCAATATTGTCTTAAGGAGAAAATGTTTTCACTTGTCTCAGATTTTGATCTTTACCTTATTTTCTTTTTCTTTACCTTTTTTCTTTTCATTTTCTGGAGTTTAATTACGCTCATGCGAATTAAATTTAAATATTTTCTTTGTCTAAACAACTATTTACATATACTAAGCCATCAACAATATTTAAATGAAAAAGCTACTTTTAGTGAGAGAAAATTAAAATCTTTATACAACTCAAATAAGCTCTGTATGAATATTTCTATTTTCCTCAAGCATCCTCCAATGGCTAACAGCAGAGTATCTCTTGCCATGGAGAGAACTGGGCAGTGGTGTTGAACTCCAATTGTTCTTTCTAATTCATTTTGATAATTCTATTCTGATTTTTTGTTCAAATTACAGGGTTTTTTCTCAAGAAATTCCTACTGATGTTATTGTTGAAGTAGAAGTCAATTTCTCTCTTTACAAGGTATGTTGAAGAACACTAATCTTGAAATTCAATTTTGCTTGAACTTATAAAAGTTGAATAGCTCGTTTGAGTTTTTTGGGCTCATTCAGTCTAAAAAGTTTCAAGAAAAGTAGCAGCACGAATCTTTGTGCCTCGATTATTATTTTTCGTAGTTAAGCTGGAATGTTACAAAGATAGATCTACTGGCATAAGTTAATTATTTTCATCTACTTATGATGGCAGTTCGTGCTTATAGCAAAGAGCAATTACATAAGAAAACTGATTATTGAATCAAAAGAAGCTGATTTGGCAAGAATAAACCTCTCCAACATCCCTGGAGGACCTGAAATTTTCGAAAAAGTTGCAAAATTTTGTTATGGAGTGAATTTTGAGATCACGGTACACAACGTGGCAGCCCTCAGATGTGTTGCTGAGTATCTACAGATGACTGATATGTATTGTGACGATAATCTCTGCAGTCGGACCGAGGAATTCCTCTCTCAAGTGCCGTTAAGCAGTCTTTCGGGCGCTGTGGTCATCCTGAAATCGTGTGAAGACCTACTTCCCATGGCTGAAGACCTTAAAATTGTAAAAAGATGTGTCGATGTTGCAAGCGCTAAGGTATTTCTCACGGTTCAATGAATCTCAAGCTTTTACAACATAGAAAGGTCATGAATCTTGAATTCTAGTCTTACTGCCATTTATTTATAAAAATCGTGCATGTGTTAGGCATTTGATGGAAAATGAACCTAATTGATGGGATAAAATAAGGTTTATTGTCTTTTTAGTAGTTTAAACTTTTAGAAGAAGTGGTTTGACATAGATAAGTTTGAAGTCCTACCATTACATGTATCTATTAGTTAACTATTGGTGAGTTCACACGTGTTAGGCGTGCGTCGGGGCGAATTTTCCAAGCCGTTCACCACCTAACTGGTGGACCGAAGAGCTAACAATCTTGGATGTAAGCTTCTTCGAAAAGATCATTGTGTCGATGAAATCAAGAAGCGAAAAGGCCTTGACAATAGCTAGTGCTATAATCACATATGCAGAGAGATCACTTCATGATCTTGTGCGTGACCACTCTGGAAACGGTATAAAATCATTAAATTCTGGGGGATCTGATATCAGAATCCAACAACGAGAACTTCTAGAGTCTATAGTCGCTCTTTTGCCCCCCGAAAAGACTGCATTCCCCATAAACTTCCTCTGTTGTCTCCTGAGGACTGCTATTTTCTTGAGGGCAGCAAATAGTTGCAAGAACGAGCTAGAAAAGAGAATTTCAGCGATTTTAGAGCACGTGACTGTGAATGATTTTCTAATTTTATCGTTCTCCTGTGATGGCGAGCAGCTGTTTGATCTTGAGAGTTAAGAAGGATCATATCAGGATTTATGGAGAAAGAGAAGAATGTGGCTGTCTTCAACGGAGGCGATTTTAGAGAAGTTTGTTCCACAGCTATGCAGTTGCCAAGACAGTTGATGCATACCTTGGGGAAATTGCTACTTCTGTTGATCTGAGTGTTTCTAAGTTTAACGGGATAGCCAATTTAGTGCCTAGGGTGCTAGAAAGGTCAATGATGATCTACACCGGGATATCGATATTTACTTGAAGGTAAGTAAAATGCCAACATTGCTCGTTTCTTGAATAACGCGTGTTTTACATGATTTGATACCATCATATCGTATAATTTATTGCAGGCTATCCAAATTTAGATGAAATCGAGCGCGAAAAGATGTGTAGTTTGATGGATCCACTCAAACTATCCTACGAAGCCAGTCATGCTTCGCAGAAAAAACGGTTGCCTGTACAGAGTTCTTCACACGTTGTATTACGATCACCTGAAACCAAAAAGCGACACAGATGACCAAAACATGCTGAATGCCGTGACAACGAGAAATCAATTACAGGCAGACATATCCCTTGTGAAAGAGAATGAAGAACTGCGAACCGAGTTATTGAAGATGAAAATGTGTGTACAAGATTTGCAGAAAACTCAAGGGACACCATCAAAAGGGAATGTGAAGAAGCCAACATTCTTTTCTTCTATGTCGAAAACCTTGGAAAAATTGAATCCATTTAAGCATGGATCAAAGGATACTTCAAATATAGATGATGGGATGCCAGATTTAACCAAGCCTAGAAGGAGAAGGTTCTCCATTTCTTAAATTCAAGGATTAATTTATTTAGTTTCTTGTGAGTGGAAATCGTGTAAAAGTTTGGTGGTTTGGCATTTTTTGGTTTATCATCCAATTATTTTTGTTGCTCTATTATGTTTGCCCACTTTCCAAGCTAATTTCTTGATCTTGTACAAGTTGTGTTACTGTTTATAGTTAACTATATACATGTTTCTTGACTGTTTGTTATTCTTCTCGTGAAATTATTTGACATATTTGGTAAGGTGAATTATATAAAATAATACATGGAAATTTTCTTGGTTTCGGATGTAGATTGTGATGGAATCAACAAATCGTTTAAAACATAGTATATTTTGGGTAATTTTGTTTCGTAATTATTTGCCTTTTGAGTATTCGATTTTCGTTATTTTTTATAAAGTTTAACTATAAATAGAAGTAAATTTCTTTAATAATGAAGAAAGCCCGTTAGAGTGTAGAACTAAATATTGGTTGCAAGGGGACTTGTAATAAAACTTTGGGGTAATAAAACTTTGGGGTTTCTTTTATTTTTTTGAATATGTTTTGATAAAAATGGAGAAATGCTACATAAATCCTAACTAATACGATGATAGTATCTTTATTAATTAAAATGTTATTTTTTGAGAACAATTATTAAATTAGATAATGCTAGAGGTATATAAGCATCTATATAAGGGTGTCCATAATGATGATGTGACCATCATCTGGTCATTGATATGTAAGTGTCAGATTTGAATTAAAGATGGAATCACATGCCACATCAACATTATGGACACCCTTATGTAGATACTTATGTACCTCTAGCATTATCCTATTAACTTTGTCACGATTTGTGGTGCCGTATTGAGAGCCACGCACCTTAATTTAATTCCTGAAAACCCCACCCCACCTCCCCACCGCCGGGGGTTCATTCCCATTTTCTTGTGCCATGTTCTTCTTTGTCGTCGGACTTCCATCGTCGGATTTATTTAATTTTCTTTAAAAAAGTAATTAAATTAACTCTTTTTATATGAAATGGTTATATTTTGTATTTTTATGTAAAGTGGACAGAAATTAATTTTTATTCGTAAATTTTGTATGAAATTTAGATCATTCCAGTTTGTATGTATTTTCCGTAATTTGTGTACTCGAAGATAAAACACACAAATGCTATGTAAATTGAAAAATTGTACTACATGAAAACACATAAACAACTACGTAAATTGAAAATCAGCACTACATGAAAATATTACATAATTGAACTGTCAAACAACAAAGAAAGCACCTACATACACGACCAATTATTTGCACTTATTACACATGCTTCATTACAACGAGTAATACTAGTGTACACGTTCACAGTATAGTAAACCATAAAAGTGCACGAGTAAGTGAACATATTTTTTCGTCCACCATGTCGATCTTCTCCAACAATTTGATGACAACATCTTTTAAGTCGCTTAGTGTCCAAAGGTGCATATTGATCAATTCAGATTGACGTCCCAATGTTGGTTCAATCTCGTCATCCCAATCAAACTCCCCCGCACTTGACGCCATCCTACAAGATAAAATAGAAATCTAAACAATCCGCAAATCCTATATTTGATATGCTACAATAAATGGTTATTATTGTACCTTTGCACAATGACATCTCCAAAATCTACGATTAGGATTCCTTTCAATATACGATGTATGTAGCTTTATATACACACCAAATCTACATTTGAGGCGGGATTGCACATTATTCACGCTAGAGGAATACATTTTGTACATGTCTTTTATTTTGTTCTTACAACATCACAACTCTCATGATCTTCAAAACACACTTCAGTGCAATAAAATCCAAACCATGCTTCACTGAATGAGAAATCATTTATTAGAACTGATCTCATGCCCATTGCTGACATGGCCTTGCCATCGAACAATAACAAAAGGATGCTGCCATGGCTGCAAATCACTAGTTGCACAAGTAATAGAGACAATATATCTCCTACAGTCATGTCGTCTAAGTTGTCACTTCAAGATACAAGTCAAAAATTTTCGTAATCCAAATCAAAATTTCACGAAATCAGCATCACAACCTCTTCGTTTTCGACTAGCAAATCACATAAATGATTTGCACATCCATTTACAAATCAAAATTTCATGAAATTATCATCACAACCTCTTCATTTCCCATTAAAAATCACAAATTAGTTGCACATCCATGTTTTAATCCCCCACACACCATTAACCCTAAACCTTAATCCCTCATTTCAAGTAAATATGTTCACTTACTTGTGCAACTTAAGGTGGCCGTCTTTTGGACCTCATTTCAAGTTCACATTGGTTGTGCCACATATAAAGTGAAGCACGTGACTTGCTTATGCCAATTTTAACATCCAATTGGATGGATGCCCATGTGTAAGGACCTGAGTCGGAACATGTTTAAAAGGTTGAGGATTTCAGTGATAAGAATTGAATATCAGGGTTCAATTTGCAAATTCTTCAAAGGTTGGTACATCTGCTCCAATTCTTCATCTCTAAAGGTGCCAAATTCCAAATAAATAAAGGACGAAAAAAGAGAGAGAACCATTACAGAGGCGGTTCCCCTACGACGCCGTGTTTAGTGCAATCAACAAAATCCCCCAATTTGTACGCATTTCCTCTCGCCTGCGAACTTCCAGACGGCTTCATCATGGCTACAGCAATGGTTCTCGATCCAAAACCCTCATCGGACCACCCACCTCCAACCCGACCCATGCCTGGATTCGACCCATCCTCCTCCTCGGACCCGGACGACGACCTCTACTCCCGCCTTAAATCCCTTCAACGCCAACTGGAATTCATCGAAATCCAAGAAGAGTACGTCAAGGACGAGTTAAAGAATCTTCGCCGCGAGCATCTGCGGGCCCAGGAAGAGGTGAAGAGGATCCAGTCTGTGCCGCTTGTTATTGGCCAGTTCATGGAGATGATCGATCAGAACAACGCTATTGTGGGGTCCACCACGGGATCTAATTACTATGTCCGTATTCTCAGTACGATTAATAGGGAGCTCTTGAAGCCGTCGGCCTCGGTGGCGCTCCACCGCCACTCGAATGCTCTCGTGGATGTGCTTCCACCGGAGGCAGATTCGAGTATCTCGCTGCTTAGCCAGTCGGAGAAGCCGGATGTTAATTATAATGTAAGTTGTTTTAGAAGATTCCTGAATTGGGAATTTTTTGGAGAATTTTATAGTAGGGTTTTAGCCTTTAGATACTTGTTTTGTTTTATTTGATGATTTTATGAATAACAGATATTATTCTGCCAAGAAGCGATTTATCTAGTTATTAAATGTGATCTAGCTACTTTTACCGATTTTCTAACAATGCTAAGGAACTTTACTACTATTATTTGTTATTCTATATGTTCTTTAGTGCTAGGAGCTTGCTGAATGGTGAGCTTTGAAGAGGGATAGATGCACGTTTTCGTATGCACCATCATGGAAGCACAGAATAGGAATGTTTGATTGTCCAATTTTGAGATGTGATGATAGTTGATGAAAGCACAAATTATGAATGCTTTAATTTTCCAATTTTGAGAGGTTAAGATATTTGTTGATTATCGTAGGGGAAAGTTAATACAATGTGCTTAGAAATATAAAGACGGTGGCCTATAATTCTCAGATCATGAAATTTGAAGTTGAGAGAAGTTTATAAGTATATAGAGTAACACCAGTGTGAAATATGTAATAATTTTAGAAATCCACACTCGAACTTATATGCATGTATTGAAGTGAAAGTCTTTTGCCGACAACTCTGTCTATATAGGTGTAATGGACCTTTCTTTTTCATGTTTTTAGTTTTAAATATAAACACATCTGCTATGTTGTAAAATGTGTAGGTTATTGAAAACGTATTTGGGACTACATGTTAAGGTATGAGCAAATAGTGCTAGACTTCTGACATGCAATTTCTTTAGCCAAAAATGCTATTTTTTTATTTTTTTTTCATTTGAACCGTCAAACTTGGTGCGTACACTTTTGTATACACCAAGCAGAATTGTTCTTTGGCTGGTGTTACAGTCAAAGTGCAAGAAGCTACTGAAGCTACTAGGTACTCTAGATAATCTGCGAGAAGCTACTAAAGCTACTAGGTACTCTAGGTAATCTGCTGAAAATAGTACTTGTCATCTCTGATTTCAGGCTCAGCTAATATAGTACAATTACTTAGTTATGTTTTGCAAATTTAGAGATGTTAAAGGGATTTTTTTTTGATGTTGACTTTTGTTAAGTAATGCACACTCATCTCCCCTTACTCCGTGGGGGTACTAATTATAGGGTAATCTCCATAGAAAAATTTAGATTTCTTAATTCAAGTGATATGAAGGTCTTAAGAGTTTTCATGAGGTCAGCAACTTACGCCAACTTTCAGTCCTATGGGATAGACCAGGGAAAAAACTTGAAAAGATAATTGAAAATATCCTGAAGCATGGCATACGGATAATCTACAAATTCAAAAAACAATAGAGGTAAAGACATGTTTGACCTTCGACCTCTGCACACTTGGCAAGAGAGAGTGATTTTCATGTCAGAGTGCTGTCCCTGAATGATCCACCATGACTATTAGATAGATTGTATTTTATTTAGGCTCGATGTATAGTCCTTGCTTGTGCTAAAATCTTAGCTCCTTAGTTCATAGGACTTGAGCCTCTTTGGCTGGAACAACATATATTCAGCTTTCTAACTGTAGAAAGGTATGCCTAACCTCCTTTCACTTTGCTCAAATCACTTCTGGCAGTTTGACCCCATCTTCTTATCAGAGGTTTTGATTAGAATTCATTACAACTTTATATTCATGATGTCAGTTGCACCAAATTACAATACTTATGGTTGCAAAAAATATATTTCTAGTGTTTTTTATAAAGCAAAGGGCGCACCTGAGGTGATGCCCTTGAATTTTTTGTTCTCGATCAGAACATTCATCAATGTCAATCTCAGGCACCAAAGAGTGGTTTTGGATTTAGAAATTAAAGCTTTAAATTCCATTCCCACCCCTGCACACAAATTTCTCCCAATATTAAGTATCGTGTGTATAGGTGAAGCTTTTCCATTTGAATTGTTCGAATAGGAAGTGGAATGGGGAATTGGAAAATTGAAGCTTAGTCTCCTTTCATTGAATGGCCCATATGACTTTATAACATTCAAGTTCTCATGCATGGACCCTCTATCCCTCGTCTTAGCACATCATAGCCGTGCAAGGGAAAATAATCCTGATTTCAAATTTGAAATTGTTCCTTGAGCAGCAAATGAGATGAAAGAGAATGGTTTGTTAGAATGTTGGTGATGCACAGAGAAATTCCTTTAGTAGTTAAGCATATAATAATTTTAACCAAACCTTAACATTATTATCTTTTGTGAACAATTAAAATTTACATTTTACCATGGGGACCTACTCCCATGAAAGTGAACATTCTAGTCGCAAACTCCAAAATTTACCAAAATCTCGCTGAACTTACAGGCACCTTGAAATGCTTTCTCTTACACCTCACACCCTTTTGGATGCCAATTACCACAAATCCTTCTTTCATGGAGTTACATCCTGAATTATTTATACTATGTTCTGTCAACAATTCAAATCCATTTTCTGAGCGTTCACATGATTTTTCTGCTGAAAAGCCATGTATGAACTATGTTCTTTTCATCTTTTGGAATTTTTTTATCATTGTCTTTTCCTTCATCAGGGAAAAGACATAATACTGAGCAAAAATTCGTGCGACTTTATTGACTTGCTCTTCCCCACCCTTCATTTCCGAGTACAGTCCTGTAGGGCAAGATAGAAGCATAACGTCCGTGACATCTGTTATCACACCATTACCAGTTAGTGCAGTTATTTCTGGTGCTTTTTTCTTACAAATCATGATAATTTAGTTTTGACGGGTCCACATTTAATTTATTGAGCAGTTCTGGGTGCTTCAGCATGGGGATTGCAATGTGTTGTAATTTGGTTACTCATTGGAATATTGTTTTTGGCACTGTTGTACTGGGTCTGTTGATTGTTCCCTCCCCTTTTAATTGCAACATTTGTTGTAACATAGTTACTCATTTGGGATATTGTTAGGCAAAGTTGTATTGGGTATCGATTGGTTTTTGCCCCTTATGCTATTTTTGTCTTTCTCATTTTTCTCAGATGGATTTTCAAATAGTTCAGGCATTTTAACATGCAATTCCAACAAAATATTTACCTTGTATCGACTTTGGCAGGATATTGGAGGATGCGACATTCAAAAGCAGGAAATCCGTGAAGCTGTTGAGTTGCCTTTGACTCATAATGAATTGTACCAACAGATTGGCATAGATCCTCCTCGTGGTGTCTTGCTGTATGGTCCTCCTGGCACTGGGAAAACAATGCTTGCTAAGGCTGTTGCTCACCATACGACTGCAGCCTTCATTAGAGTAGTTGGCTCAGAATTTGTTCAGAAATATTTGGGCGAGGTATGGTTTAAATATCTATAATCATGCATTCATTATCTTTTTATTTTGTATTTTACTATGCCACCTGCTGCTGTTTATTCTTTCCATTGAATTTCTATTAGTTATGAGCTTAGGATGTATCACTTTTTACTTAACATCCAGAATCCAGATATTTCGTTTGAGCTGTTCATTGTTGGTGGTGAAACAATGCATATATACACGCACACGCTGTTTATTCATTTAAATGAACTGTGGAAGTGGGAAAGAGAGAAGAATTCTTAACAGCAGTAGTTTTTTTATTGAACAACATTATATTTATCGATACCTTCTACAGATGATACTCATGTGGAGGAAATTGTTCTCTACCTGACTACAACTTTCGATATTTAAATCCTTATCAAATTGAATGTCTATTGGAAGTTTGTTAATACTTGTATACTGGGGAATTTCATCGGTAGATTAGGCTATACTGGTTACAGCCTTACAGGTATTTGGGGACTGAAATTACTGTGCCCTTTACTTTATCTCGTACTTTGTTTTATTCTTGAATTTACATAAATTCTCTGTTTTAACAATATTTACAGGGCCCTCGAATGGTTCGTGATGTTTTCCGGCTCGCAAAAGAAAATGCACCTGCTATTATTTTCATCGATGAGGTTGATGCAATTGCTACTGCTAGGTTTGATGCTCAAACTGGAGCTGACAGAGAGGTCCAGCGAATTCTCATGGAATTATTAAATCAGGTAGACCTCGGAGAAAAAAATTAGAAAAAGACCTGTGGACTAAGCGCTCTCATTTGATGTTTTGACGTGTGAACCTACTTTTATGAAGAATTTTGATGCGATCATTCTTGCTGCATTTTCCATCCGTTATTTGGAGTTATGAATTTTGCTTGTCCTATGCAGATGGATGGCTTTGATCAGACAGTTAATGTAAAGGTTATTATGGCAACTAATCGAGCTGACACTTTGGATCCCGCACTTCTGCGTCCTGGAAGGCTTGACCGGAAAATTGAGTTTCCTTTGCCTGATAGGCGTCAAAAGAGGCTCGTGTTTCAGGTTTGGAGTGTCTTTCTTGGTTATCTTCCTTTCATTCTTTATATTTAAATAGTATGCCGAGGTAGAGAGATGCCCTGTCTTCATGAGTTTTAAGTTCTCGCGAATTTTTTACTTGAATCGAAGTATATTCTAAATCCTAACTGTTTCGTATGCAGGTTTGCACAGCGAAAATGAATTTAGGTGATGAAGTGGACTTGGAAGACTACGTGTCTCGGCCAGATAAAATTAGTGCTGCTGAGGTTAGTTGCTTTAATTCTCTCTGTCACGAGTGTCACGAGGGAGTCTGAATAATAACTGAACCACTAAATATGAAGCACGACGATGATTACTGTAAAATACTCGACTTTTGCTTTTGACCAACAATTGGTGTAACATTGATGCCATTGGCTGGTTTAATGGTTCCAGATTGCAGCTATTTGCCAAGAAGCAGGAATGCACGCAGTAAGAAAGAACCGGTATGTTATACTCCCCAAGGACTTCGAGAAGGGTTACAGATCCAATGTAAAGAAACCCGACACTGACTTCGAATTTTACAAGTGATCTGTTAGTGTTTTGAAGGGAGATGTTGAATATTATGCATTCCAAGCCCGCCCTCACCCCTTCCCCCAAAAAGAACGACATCCAGAATCGAGTCCTAGATTGTAATGTCCTAAGAGTTGCTTCTGTGAAGGCTATTGACGATTTTCAATCTCCAGAAACGGGCAACTTATTTGTGTTATTGTGCTCGTTTACAGTGTTTTTTTTTCCTTGTTCTGTTAACCATTTCACTCGACCAACTACTGTTTTACAAACTCTCGATGAAGAAGAACATTGTTAAAAAAAACATAATTGTTATTGAATCACAATAATATCAAAGGATAGGTTAAAATGGCCGTGTCATCCCATATGCAAGCATGTGGAGCCTTGAATTTGTGTTTTTCTCAACAAACAAGGTTACAAAGAAAGACAAAGAATGTTCAAAATTCTAGAATAACGTCACACTTCATTTGTAATACATAAAAATAAACATGGGATTTGTTGAATTAGGAGAAATGTCTTAATTTTGATCAAATTGGGCCCTGCGTATATTCTGCTGAGCGCACAAAGGAGATTAGGTATTTGTCACGACCTATGGTCATGTCGTTTTATCGAAAGAACAAGAGTTGTCCACGTGTAATTTGCAACTGCTCCCCTATAATTGGCCAAGTCAAAATCCCTCCTGTAATTAGCTAAGCCAAAAAAGTGTAATTGGTTTGGCTTAGCCAATTACAGGGAGACAACCGTTCGGTGTATTGACCCGGTGAATATTTCCAATTATAGGTGATCATTTTTTAAGATGTTTTAGTACACTAAAATAAGTTCAATTAAATAAAAAGTTTTAAAACCCGTACCAAATTTGGTACACGAATGGTTATATATAGGACCCATAACAAGACTTCTAGAACATAAAAAAGAAAAAGAGGGTCAATCATAGACCTTAATTGTTTTTTATTTATTGCATCTTTTCTTTAATAATATCATTTTTAGCATGCTTGGGCGAAGCATAAAACAAGAGCATCTCCAATTGTTGTGTAAAATAGATTTAAATTGTAATTTAAATTTTCAAAAAGATCGAAATTCTCTCCGTTGGAAAGATGCAAACGAAATGCAAATTGTATTTTTCGATAAAAAATGCACAAGAGGTAAAAAGTTAGAACAAAATTTGAATTTAAATCTACAGAGATGTAGATGAGGATGGAAAAATAATTTTGAAAATACCAATGTAGAGGGTGTTTGGTGTGAATTAAAATTAGATTTTTAGTGGATTGTGATAGAAGTTTTTGAAATGTTTGATTGAAAAGATGTGGGATCTATGAAAGACGTGGTTAATATTAATTGTTTGACTTTGACTTGGATTAAAATGAGATTTTAATCCAGCCCTCACACTCAATTTTATACCACCATTGAAGATTCAAACATATTTAGCTAATTTTCTATTTTTACTTCAAAGTAAATTTACTTTTTTAAGTAACTCAACTATACACCCGATTTGGTTTGGTATGAGATCTACTTATTTATTTATGAGTAATGCTATTCATTCCCACTAGAGTTACAAACACAGTCTAAGTGAGGTTAATGTGGCATTAAATGATCATTTAATTTCACATTTCATTTAACCTATCATTTAAAGCTATCTAAATTGTGTTTGTAACTCTACTGGGGATGAATAATATTATTCTAAAATACTTTAAAGAATAGCTAAGGTTAAGAAGTTTCTAAATATTTATTTAGATAAGTTGCATTTTTCTCATTTTGAAGTACAAAGTATACTTTTTTTGAGAATAATTCTTACCTTATGGTCAAGATGTATAACTTTGATCAAGAAAATATTACTTATATTTCGAAACTTCACCAATAAGTGAATTTTATAAGCACAGCCAAACACATATGGCTAATTGCTTATAGTCAAACTAAAGACTTTTTTCATTTTCTCCACGGGTGAGTCCTCCTTGAAACAAAATCCAACAAAATAAGAAATGGACCATGCTACAAGTACATAATCATTTACATAATACATTACATAATTGACATGTGGCGCGCATCCATCGATAGTCTACAATTTTTGACTTTTCCACACTTCACATCCACGACCGGATTTCTTCCACATGGGTCTATGTAATCCATTATGTACAATAATTATGTACATATAGATTTATCCATAAGAAATTACAGTCTGGTGAGTGAGGTGGGGTGGGGGCCTGGGTCAACCATTCATTAATGTACTTAAAAAAGCACACCACACCTCTTTATCCGTCACTGCCCACCCACTCTCTCACTCTCGGTGGTTGAATGAATGACTCTGTAATGATTCAATCTCTTGAATTTTTAGTTCACAATGTTGGGTTTCTTTTCTCTAAGCGAATTCTGAATTCTTGATGGAAAATGGTGATGCTAATGCTGGCGCTGCACAGTTTGAGTAAAATTCATTAACTCAAATGTGAAGATTAGAAAAAGCTTTGATTTTGGCTTTTCCCCGGAATGCTGCAAGGTAACATTGGTTATCTTTCATATTTGCCCCTTCCATATGTTTTTGGTGCTTGTCTTCTTTTACATTTTATCAGCTTTAGATCAGTTTAAGGCAAGAAATTTTAGTAGTAGATCTGAATGTGGGAAGCTTGTACTTGTTGCAGAGCTTGTTGAAAAATTCCTCTTGAGTTGTTCTCTACTTTTGGTTTTGTTGAAGTAGGTTTATGAATTGAATTTATCATTTTTAGAAGAAAAAAAAAAAACCCGATTATTCAGTGAAACTTTATATGCCTTATTGCCAGCAACTTGTAATCCATTTTATTGGGAAAATAAGCATTTGTGATTTTTTTACTGGGCATATGTCGTGTAAAGAGCCAATGGGGAGGAAGGAGGGAGGGAAGAAGGAAAGGAAGAGAAGGAGCCAACCAAACTTAACTGGAGCAAATGAATTGAAGACGACGTCATTTGGGTTAAGTAGAAACTGTGCTGCTTAGTCTTAATTGAATTGTATTAAGTTAGTTAAAACACGTCTTTTGCATTTTGTCCGGAGAAATGCGTTTTCTCTATTTTGGAAGACTATAGATACAGAATTGGGGAAAGATGAATGGCAGCTTTTGTAATCTGATCACTTCTGAAATTTGTTGAAATCGTTCAACAGCTTTTCTCATCTCCTTCTTCTAATTTTCTCTTTTACTTTGTCCCCATTTCTCTTTTATCTTTGTTTGGTGACATGATTTTAGCTGATTCAGCTGAGTTCAGTGAGTTTTTTGCGTTACGGTTTGAGGGAAGCAACCAGTAAGCATCCAGCCGTGACAACATAATGATCATTGAAAAGGGGGCATGCCTTTGCCTTTTCTTTTACAGAAATGCCTTTTCTTCTTTATTTAAATTATGTTTCCTTTTCAGCTATTCTAGAACTTTTCTTGAAAAATCTGTCATAATGTGCTTTGCTTTTTTCACATGGAAGTGTACAGGAGATTTTATTTATCAATTCCAGCAATATATTTCAAAATTTCAAATTCTTTGTGGTTTTGGTGGAGCACCCTTTGTCTGCTATACTTGGCTATTATGAGGAAAAGTTCAATGATTAATTTCCCGAGTTATAGTGGAAATCACTCTCATTTAGTGCCTGCAGTGGAAAATGAATTTTTTTAATTGGTAGTGCTTCACCAAGCATTCCGAGATAAATGTCTAGTGCCTTTCTAAAGAGAAGTTTTAGTTATAGTAGGTAGTGAGAGCATGTAGCTCAATACAATTTATTGTTTTGTTGATCCTTTGATACCCAAATTTAACTACTACAGACGACTTTATTCCCTGTTTTAAACTGAAGCAATGAATTTTTGCTATTCAGACTGAGTAAGGAATAAGCTTTATCGCATAACAATATCGATGCCTCAAATTGTTGTGCTGCAATTCGAGGTGGGGTTTGCCTTATTATGTTTCTGCATCTGATTATTGTCTTCCAATATCAATAAGGTAGAAAATAGGTGTATCATAGTTTAATAACATTTTCTATTTACTCCAAAAAATTTGTTTTCATTTTCTTCCAATTTTCTATTCTTACCTGGAGAAATGTTGTCTCTATTGCTTCTCTTTCATGACTACACCGGAAATTGTTGCTATATACTTTTTAAAATTTGTACCTTATTTTTTTTGTTTCATAGGCTAATGATGCCTTACTGTTTTCTTTACTGCCTTCAGGAAAACTGCAATACCTGCACAGATTTCCGCTCCATGCTTCTGTGGACTTCCAAATGAAATTCTGCTTTCCTCATTTATTGCTTCCTTTTCTTTTTGTCATTGTAAATCTTTTGCCTCTCGCAATTGGTGATTTGAACTCTGATAAAGAAGCCCTTCTCGCATTTGCTGCTGCTGTTCCACATGGTCGAAAACTCAACTGGAATCCTGCTACACCTGTCTGCAGCTCTTGGACAGGAGTCAAATGCTCTCAGGATCTCAGAAATGTGATTTATCTGCGGCTTCCCGGTGTTGGACTTTCAGGTCCAATTCCGAACGACACTCTTGCAAAGTTGGATTCATTGAGGATTCTTAGCCTACGATCCAATCGCCTCAGTGGCAATCTTCCTCCTGATATCCTTTCACTTCCTTCTCTTCATTCCCTCTTCCTTCAGCACAATAATTTCTCTGGTGATATTCCAACTTCCTTTTCCCGTCAAATCAATGTTTTGGATCTCTCATTTAATTCAATTACCGGAAAAATTCCTCAAACGGTTCAGAATTTGACTCAACTTATTGCACTGAACCTTCAAAACAATTCTCTTTCAGGATCAATTCCCAACCTTGACCTTCCGCGGCTCAAACGTTTGAACTTAAGCTACAACCATCTTGATGGCTCTATCCCATCTTCTCTAAAGAAGTTCCCTAACTCTTCATTTATTGGTAACACTTTATGTGGTCCGCCCCTAAATGTTTGTTTCCCAGTTAGTCCGCCATCTCCTTCCCCTAGTCCTTTTCCACCTCCCTCAGAAGTCCCTCAAAATCAAAGTTCCAAGAAAAAACTTGCCTTGGGAGCTATCATCACCATTGCAGTGGGAGGGACTGTAGTGCTTTTTCTTATAGCCCTCATTTTATTATTCTGCTTCTTTAAGCGAAAGGAAAGTGATGACGGTGCCATGCCCAAAGTTAAGTCTTCTGGTGGTGGGAGGAGTGAGAAGCCAAGGGAGGAGTTTGGTAGTGGGGTGCAAGAACCGGAAAAGAACAAATTGGTTTTCTTTGAAGGCTGTTCTTACAACTTTGATCTTGAGGATTTATTAAGGGCCTCAGCCGAAGTGCTGGGAAAGGGTAGCTTTGGGACCGCATACAAGGCAGTCTTAGAAGAGTCAACAACAGTTGTTGTGAAAAGATTGAAAGAGGTGATAGTGGGGAAGAAGGACTTTGAACAACAGATGGAAACTATCGGGAGACTGGGTCAGCATCCAAATGTGGTGCCACTACGGGCTTATTATTACTCCAAAGACGAGAAGCTCCTTGTTAACGACTATTTTTCAAGTGGCAGCTTGGCAACTGTTTTGCATGGTATGCGAATTCCTCCCTCCCTCTCTCTGGGCTCCTTTCTTTTTGCGGCATTGCGTAGGCTCACATTTTATCTAGCATCTTGGTTATCCTTGAAGATGGCAGCATTTAACAAAAAAAAAATGATTACTTTGTCTAATGTAATTTTGGAACTAAATTTCTTTGGATGGACTCCCATTCTCATTATTTTTGAACTGTACTAGATCAAGAAAA